ATTTTTGGAGTTAGAGAAGGATCTACAAGGACAATAAAAAATTGTGGGACTAGGTGTCTTGCACTATATTAGTATGTAGTAAATAAATTAGCATGGTGGACATACAATTTGTGTTACAAGGGGGTAAACAACAAGTATCACAAAAATATTGAGCGTTTATTGGTTAATTATTTTTTAATATTAATAATATAATTAAGTGCCAGATTGGATAACAATTAGAGAATTTTATATATGACAAATAGGGGCTAATTTACATATAATAAATATAAAAAATATTGTCATACAAGGAAATCAAGTTGCCCATCGATCTTTTTTGTTTATACAATGTGAATTTTTATTTGCCAAAAAAATAAACGATATAATATAAAATGAAAAATCAATTTGCTTTAATTGATGCAGGTGAAATTATTAATTCAACTAATTAATATTATTATATTTTTTCAGATAATAAAAAAAAGGATGTGATTGTTACAAATCAAGAATTTGCAGGTAAATGTACTATTGAAAAATTGCATTATTTTTAAATTTTGATTAATATTTTAATAAAATATATTTTTTGTTGATTTAGCTGATTAATATATCAATTATTTATGATCAACATCCTACAACTGATCAATCGAACAAATCTATAGTAAAGATAACATATTCTCCTGCAACCATTTCAAAATTGCCATTTATAATAATAATATTTATAAGTAAGGAAAATACCTGTCAAGTATGTCAAATAGGCCAAAAAAAAAAAAAAAAAATGAGTCAAATAATGATGCAACTGGTTCAATGCAAGTCACTTCTTTATCAGTTACAAAAAACAAATATGAAATTAGAACTATATGTTTGAAATGATGAATTATTAACATGATTCCTTTATATAATTAATTACCAGAATTAATGAGAGGAATGAATGGAGTGAGTATAACAAAACTTAGTTTTTAGAATATTTATTATTATTTTATTTAATAATATTCTGAACATTTATAAATTATTCAATAGTTTGTATAGTTGAACATTTTATCAATAGTCTATATAGGCGTGATTGAAGTAAGTATTAGGGACAAGATCTATGAAGCTTGCAAATCAATTTTGTAAAATATACTGATGAATGTTTTGTCAATTATTCAATAGTTTGTATAGACGTGATAGAAGTAAGCATTAAAGACAAGATCTTGAACATTTTATCAATAGTTTATATAGGCATGATTGAAGTAAGTGTTAGGTGCAAGATCTACAAAGCTTGCAAAACAATTTTGTAAAATATACTGATGAACGTTTTATCAATTATACAATAGTTTGTGTAGGCGGATTGAAGTAAGCGTTAAAGACGATATCACAAAGCTTGCAAAGCAGGCCTTGAAAATGAACATTTATTGATAGTTTGTATATCAAGATCTACAAAGCTTGCAATGCTAAGTTTTGCAAAATGAATGTTTACCAATTATTCAATAGTTTGTATAGGTGTGATAAAAGTAAGTGTTAAGGACAAGATTTATAAAGCTTGCAAAACAAGTTTTGTAAACCAATTATTCAATAGTTTGTATAGACATGATCAAAGTGTTAAAGGCAAGATTTCTTTTCTTTTAACTTATATATTAATAAGATCACCATAATAAATAATTAAGTGCCAGATCAGATAACAATTAGAGAATTTTATATATGACAAATAGGGGCTAATTTACATATAATAAATATAAAAAATATTGTCATACAAGGAAATCAAGTTGCCCATCGATCTTTTTTGTTTATACAATGTGAATTTTTATTTGCCAAAAAAATAAACGATATAATATAAAATGAAAAATCAATTTGCTTTAATTGATGCAGGTGAAATTATTAATTCAACTAATTAATATTATTATATTTTTTCAGATAATAAAAAAAAGGATGTGATTGTTACAAATCAAAAATTTGCAGGTAAATGTACTATTGAAAAATTTGCATTATTTTTAAATTTTGATTAATATTTTAATAAAATATATTTTATGTTGATTTAGCTGATCACTTTCCTCTCTCTAAGGGTTGGGCACTTAAAGCTAATCAAAAATTTGGACATAGAGGCTCTGGTAAACGAATGTCACTACAAGTTATACAACTTCTTGAAGGTTTTTTTTGGCTGGTACTTTAAATAAAAGTGATCATTATGATGCTGGATCAATGCATGCAGATTTGGTTGTAATGGCAGAAGAAGGTAACTTAGATAGAGATGAGATTCCAAAAACTGAAACAATTAACAATTGGATAAGTAGAGATTCCGCAGCATTCAGAAAAGAAAGTGCAAGAACAGCATTACAATCAAATTCTGGAAGTAATAAAGTTCAGTAAAAAAGCTTTTGTGAATAAATGGAATTGATTTTAATATTAATATTGCATAATAAAAAAATCCTATTGAAATATGATCCCCATATTTTTGTTTTCATAAAACTTCATACCCCAAAAATGTTACTTTTTTTACCGAAAAAAAAAGGAAATCTACCTGCCCCATCTAAAAAAAATTTTTTCACTTGTTAATGTTTAAACTCTTTTTATATTTGCAAAATTAGAGATATATTACATAATTATATTAAAAAAAATTTCGAATTTCTTTGTTCTTTTATTATTATTTTATTTTATGAATATAGTACGCTAAACTTTTTAGATAGTAAATTTGCCGCAAATTTTACTATGCAGATCCTCTAATTCTTATCCAATGTACCACTTAAATGAATAAAGTCAGAGGTAAAACACCTTTTAATTTAATCATTATTGTTGCTTACTTATATTCTAACTATTATTTATGTATATAGGAATAAAAAGTAAAATTTTAATATCTATTTATTATTATATATAAAATAAATAATGTTGCTATAAAAGACATACAGTGCGGATCATCTATACTCAAAAGTTAAAATTTTTGAAATATTATGTGATCCACACATTGGATTTTAAAA